GTAATTAACAGGAGATTTTAAAACCGATCACACACGATCCAATTGGGTCGGCAGGTTGGGTAGATTTAGTCGGGTTGGATAAAAAATCGGGTTGTGTGTAGACTTGTCACCTGATGATTGTAAATCAGATCCGAGTTGGCTGAGCAAGCCGCACAACAGGCCGATTTTCTTCTGTTACAGGCCAGTAAACGTAGCCGAGTATTATACGTAAAGGTGGAAAAAATTAGTAACCAACCAATCTCAACGGGAATATGTATGTAGATAATAATTTTATATTTAACCCCTCAAGAGTCCCATTCGGTCCCAGTGGGGGAAGTTTGAAAAAACCGCCGCCATCTTTGTTTTTTTCAAATATCTCCGTTTGCATAACTTTTTTTGAAAAAACTAAATATATGTTTCTTGCAGAGAATTAAATTTAGAATATTTTACCTTCAATAATTTTTTTTGCTAAAATAAATAGTAATAGAGATAGAGCAATTTTTTCCTATACGTTTTATAAATTTTACAGTTTTTTTAAAACAATCAGCTATAATTTTTGCGTTAACAACAGTATAATATTAATATAGATAAACAAGTATAAATGTAAGCATTAAAACCATTAAAAATAACGTTTAAATATTATTTATTAAATAAAATTATTGTTAAAAAAATATTATTAAATTAAAGTTATTAAATATAATCTGATATGACGTCATCTTGAGCGGCATTTTTGTTCTCAACTAAAATACAAAAGTTTGTGCAACTGATTCCGTGACTACACTTTGAAGAACATTTAAGACCCAGTTTTCTAAAAAAGCAATTTTTAGAGCACTGACTCTCTTTGCAATAATTGCAAAACAATTATTTTAGTAGGCCAGGAGGCGATTTATCTTATGTTGATTGAATAGATTGCCTTTTTGATCTTTCTTCCATCCATATTGAAAAGGATCTAACTTGTTACCAATCCATCCTTGAATCTAAAAAATACAACTTATACAAATTCCTATAATAGATATATTTTTACAGTTACCTGAAAGTATGTCCTGAGTAAATGGAGTTTTGCAGAGTTCTTAGTTGGAAGCAAATTAGCTAAATTAAACGTAGTGTTAAGGGCTTGTCTTAACATAATCCTATTGTATTCTATACAATAGAATGTCCTGAATAAACTCCATTTATTCAGGACATACTTTCAGGTAACTGTAAAGATATATCTATTATAGCAAATGTTATGAGTTGTATTTTTTAGATTCAAGAATGGATTGGTAACAAGTTAGATCCTTTACAACGTGGATGGAAGAAAGATCAAAAAGACAATCTGACACCTATTCAATTAACAGAAGATGTGGCGCCTCCTGACCTACTAAAATTATTTTTTTGCTATTGCAAAGAGCCAGTGCTCTAAAAATTGCTCTTGTAGAAAACTGGGTCTTAAATATTCTTCAAAGTGTGGTCAGTGTTACGGAATCAGTTGCACAAACTTTTGTGTTCTAGTTGAGGACGAAAATGACGCTGACGCTGACGCAGGATGACGTCATAGCAGATTATATTTAATAACTTTAATTTAATAATATTTTTTTACCAATAATTTTATTTAATAAATAATATTTAAACGTTATTTTTAATTGTTTTAATGCTTAAATTTATACTGGGTTTATCTATATTAAGACTATACTGCTAAGGCAAAAATTATAGCTGATTGGTTTAAAAAAACTGGAAAATTTATAACACGTATAGTAAAAAATTGCTCTATATCTATTACTATCTATTTTAGAAAAAAAATGATTGTAGGTAAAATATTCTGAATATAATTCTCTACAAAAAACATATCTTCAGTTTTTTCGAAGAAAGTTATGCAAACGGAGATATTTAAAAAAAACAAAAAAATTCAAGATGGCGGCGGTTTTTTTCAAACTTCCCCCACTGGGACCGAATGGGACCTTTGAGGGGTTAAATAGGAGATCATTATCTACACATTCCCGTTGAGATCGGTTGGGTACTAATTTTTTCCACCTCAACCTCCATATTAACTGGCCTATTAAGCCACTTTTTAGCATATAATCTTCGTTTTTTTTTTCTTGTGTAAGAATTATTTAAATATAGCGCCAAAAACTAGGTTGACAACTCCTTCCTGGAAGCATAAAATTATGGGTAGTTTGTTGTTATGGTGTTGTTAGTTGTTATGTATTGAGAAAAAAACAAAATTGGAGAATAAAGTATAAAAATTACTTGAAGTCATTTTTATTGTAAATACAATAAAAATTAAGGCTCCCCCTTTTATACTTGTTATAAAATAGGCAACGAGAATGCGAGGGCAAGACCATTTTTCTTTTACTTTTTGATCAAATCGGAGCTTTATGTACCCATACAAAACCAAATTCAACTGGCGATTTATATATATTTATTATTTATAGATTTATAGTAAAATCGGGTAAAAATAATCAATTTTTGACCCGAACGGCGAATCAACTAATTTGGACGTGTATAGTGTGTAGGCCGCTTACGAAAAGTTTGTACTGGTACTGTATAATTTAGTGTTTTATTTACTGAAAAAAGCAGCAAATGAAACTTGTGGCTAGTATTTTAGAGGTAGCACACAGGCAATACACATAATATGATATCTGTGCTTTTTGGTAAATGTTTTCATCAACTCTTTCTGATTTTGTCTTCTTATACATACATAGAATAGAAATTTATTTATGTAACGATTCTATAAGATTAATGGGTATTTTGTACATAACAACCTGTTGAATATAATTAGGTATTCAAAACGAATCTATGTGGTAAAGCTTTTCATTAAACTATTTTTAACAGAGGTAATGTTGGTATCTTTGAAGATTTAGTACATTTTTATGGCACACATTTTAAATTGAATTGCACTAAAGCCAGACACTATTCGTTTTTATTATAGAGTCTCCTAAAATTTATATTAAAATCTTCCTCTACGGAATTCACAAGGTTTTAACTTTAACGTTATTTATTAATATGTATTTTTTTACTTCATTTAACCTGCAAAGTATTCTTGAAGAAATACATTTGTGTAAAAGTATTAAGTTTATTATTAAATTGTTTAAAAATTATTATATTTAATTGTATTACTTATTTTATTATTTAGGAAGTTTACCCAGTGGGATAGAGTATCCAAAGTACCGAATGATCGAAGAAAAAACGGGCGTCAGCGATGGCTATGAAATGAGGATCGATGACATTTCCCATTTAATTTTACATATAAAATGACAGCGATATTCATTTCATAGCCATCTCTGACGCCATTTTTTTTTCGATCATACGGTATGTCCAATATGGAAATCTCAGAAAATGACCGATAGGTCCAAAAATGGTAAAATAAATGTTTTAAAATTTAAATAAAAATAAAATTTAGGTTAAAGTTTAAAACAATAATAATTGATGTTATATCAGAAAATTATATAAAATATTGAAACCTCTTTATGTTGATGATAATTTTTCTATGTTTTGAATAAACAGTTAAAATAAAACATTTTACCAACATGTCAATTAAGCACAACACAACAATGTTTATTCTAGTTTATTGACGAAAATAAGCAATCCTTTATTAATTTTAATGGTTAACATTTAATCAGTTGTTTGTTAATAATATTTTTTTAAACTATTTGTTTATATACAGGGTGAGTCTTAAATAAGTGCAAATATTTTAGAGGTAGTATATGTCGACTCCAGAAAAAAAAACAATTTTTTTTTACATTTTAGATTCAGCGCCATATAGACAAAATTTAATGATTGGAGGGCTATGAAATTGTCAACATTTTGTAATTTCTATGACAATGTCAGTTCAAAGGCCACTGCTGTGACACCGTTTTCTCGATAGAATGACCATTTTTCCATTTATCCAATACAGCTAAATATCTGTATTTTGATAACAAAACAATAGATATATTACATTCATCGGCACTTTAAAACTGTAATGTATTTTAAAATTTAATAATAGCAAAGTTTACAGATCTGTAAACTTTGATATTTCTATAATACACATATACACATATACACATATAATAACTATAACACTATAATACACATAATAACTATATTCTGTAGTGGGCCAATCTTGATGATTTTCTAAGCAATTTGTAGCTATTATTTGACCTCTTAGTATGTTTTTCTAAATTAAAAATGAAAGTTTCCATCTGTCAATTATACGAGGGAAAACAAAATGTTGATGTTATTGTGAAAGTTTGATACACTCTGTGGAATATGTTAACAAAGCAAGGAATTTAAAAATCATTTATCATCTCTTTTCTCGATAGTTTGTTTTTTGGTTCATCTCAATAGCTTTATTTTTATTAAATATGTTTTGAAAAAACCAGTAAAGATTTACAGCATTTTCAGCATTAAAAGCATGCCTTTGCTTTTAGGCCTCATGCTACTGATTGTCATTGAAAAATCATATTATTATTATTTACTGGGAGTTACTCAAGCAGCGATTACTGCCCAACAGACAATAATAATATGATTTTTCAATGACAGTGACATTACGTAAATTATAAACACTATTTCATAAGTCCATTAACAAGGGCCAAAAGCAAAGTTATGGTTTTACTGCAAAAATTACGAAAAAATGTCAGTATCTTCTTCAAAAGCAAATATCTAAAAAAAATAAAGCTATTGAGATGAACCAAAAAACAAACTATCAAGAAAAGATGCCCGTAGATGATAAAACAATTTTTTAATCCCTTGCTTAGTTTGAGATATTCCACAGGGTGTTTCAAACTTTCACCAAAATATCATCATTTTGTATAATGTTTTCCCTCCTACAAATGATAGACGTGAACTTTCAATTTAGGAGATACTAAAAAGTCAAATAATTTACTTACTAATTTACTACAAATTGCTTAAAAAATCATCAAAGTTGATCAACTAGAAAACAATATTTTAAAACTTTAAAATACATACATGAGGATAATGGACCCGTTTTTCGTGCCGGTGAATACATATTCAATTCAAACTCAGATAGTTAAAGGTAAGTTAGTTAGTAACTGTGTACTTACCCCTTTCTACGCGCTTTCTCATCTCTTTTACGCACTGAACTTCCGGTTTTTTAATCACTGTCGAGCAAATGAGTAAAGATAATCAAGTTCAACTGAAAACGCCGGACGTTTGAGCTGTTTCCCAGCGAATAACTAAGCGCCAAAGTGATGCCGTCGAGTCTGATTTAATTCCATCTAATTCACGATATCCCGGAGCTTCGACCTTGTCGAATACAGGCTCTTTTTCTCATTACACTCTCCACTCTTCTATTATCATGGAGGCACAATCTTATCGCTCAGCCAGTTACAAATACCACCTATTATACTATATCTGTATGTACAACGTGTAAATAACGTTTCGATGTGCGCGTGTATATGTGCACTTTTATTGTCTTACTATATTTAATAACATTGCTTTTTCGATGTGTTTGCATTAACCAGAAATAATGCGAAATGATTCGCACGGTAGAAGTAATTGGGGAACCAGTAGCGGCGCTGTAGTTAATATACAAGGTGAGTCTTAAGTAAGTGCAAATATTTTCAGGACTGGTAGATCTTGATAAAAGAATCAAATTTTCCCCTTACCGTTTTTCAAAAATGTCCAAAATAACCGAGTTAATCAAGTTTGAAAATTAAAAAAAAATTATTTATTTTTAAACAAATTTGAGAGCCACCGGATTTTTCTGTATTTGCGTTTCATTTAGTGCCGTATCTATGGTAATATCAGAGATTAAGAAATTACACCCATAATATAATGTGGGAAAATTTGAGGTGTCTCAGGCAGTTCTAAAAAGTTTTCTAAAATATATAGGAATATTTAAAAGAAAATCCACTATTTTCCACATCTTCTTTAGCGAAAAAACTCGCTATACAGAATGTTCAGCAATACTTCACCGTTACGTCATCATTATTTGTCAAATATGAGCTGTAGGGTGTGTGAGATCAGTTCATATTTATGTTTATATTTTTAGCCGACCATACCAACAGGTGTGGTAGGCTCGAGGGGTGTCTCACTTCGGTAAAAAATGTACAAGTACTGCCAAAATATCATTTTACTGTGAAGCGACTGCCAAGGACTACGAAGAAGACTGCCTATGACTGCCATGTAATTATTATAGGTGACTGCCAATGACTGCCAGCGACTGCCAAGGAAAATGTACATGTAATTCCAATAGTGAGACACCCCTCGGGTAGGCTATTAAGATCGGCAAAAAAAAGTTTTTTTTAATTTCACTGAAAATGAGTTATTTGGGTCCTAAATACAAAATATTTTCATGGTATTTGTCTGTTTGTTCATCTGTCCGTCTGTAACACGATAACCCAAAAACCGTTAAACCGATTTTAACCAAATTTGGCACAAAACAACTGTGGCACCCGAGAATCTGGCCATTAGTTTTTGTGGGGGGTGGGGGGGTTCGTAAGGGGGTTGGGAGGGGGTTAAAACTTTAAAAAAATCGTAACTCCAAAATTACAGTAGCTAGCGAAACGCCGGTTTTCAATTTAAGATTAGGAATAATATTTGCAACAAAATTTGTAATAACATCAAAATCAGTCAAAGTCGCAGTTTTTGAGATACTCCGTGTTTCCGTAGTCCGTTTTTGAGAAAATCCGTGTGGAGAACTCCAAACTCCCATCGGACGCGACCCCAGGTGGCGAATAGGGGAAATAACCGCAGACCAAAATTGAAAAAATTCCTTTACTTTGAACCTAAAAGAACTGCCTACCAACTTTTTATTAACATATTTTAGTATGGGTGGCTATACGTGCCTCCTGGCGCCAATTTTTTAATTCTGACATTGATTGATGTCCGTCAATAAAATTATAACCCCGAATCAAATGACAATGACTAAAAAGAATATCCAGTAATTTACAAAATGCCGTAATGACGTCACCAATCTGTTTCATCTGGTTGTCAAGTGATTGAGAGAGTTCGACAATATAATATGACATGACGGTGAACGATGGCTGAACATTCTATAGACGTGTTGCTGGGATCGAAATATACCACCCCTGAAAATATTTGCACATATTTAAGACTCATCCGGTATAATCTACAGTAATAGTTTAATTATAGAGAGAGTGTTCAGAATATTTAGATGTGTAGAAGTAATTATTTAATATTATTTTAAAAAAATCTTTTTAGTTTTATGACACATTTCATATATGCTGAATCAATTATGCTGAATTTACGGGTTACACTGTGAAACCGCTTGTATATCTACTCTAAAACTTAAAAACTAATTTAAATTTATCATTTTAAAATTCTCAATACAACTGAATGAAGGTTTTTAGAAAATTGGATATGCAAAAGTGTATAACTTACATAAAACTTTTTGTGCATAGTAATCAAATTGAAATTAGATCTAATATTAGTTGGTATTCCGACACAAACATGGCTTAGTTACTCAAGGATCTTTTAATGCCACTTTAAACACCATTAATTCTCATAAGCCTTGGCACCGCCACTGTCTTATTATATAGACAGTGGTTATTCAATATAATAAATTAATTATTGCCTATAGGAAAAGATAAACTGACAGCAATGTTTAGTTGGTGAATTAATGTCACTAGTGTAATTACACCTAAATAAAAATGCTTATCACAACATTTTACTACACCACCACCATATACAGGGTAGCGCCTCTCATAAGCCGCGGATGCTCCAAGGAGAACGGTAGTTTATATCGAAATAAAATTTTTTCAGTATATGTAGGTTAACTGAAAGCATTTTATAGAAATATATAGAATTATACAGGGTGTCCCTAAAAAAAGTTACACATCAAAGTTGTGTTTTTTCTAACGGATCACCCTATATATTAATTGTTTTTCGGATTCCAGGAAAAAAATAAAGGTAAGTTTTATTAAAGAAGCGTATACCTAAAATCTAAGGATTTTGACATACCTATTTCACATTTTGTGAAAATGAAGAGTAAATTTTAAATTTTGTTAATATCTACCTAAGTTTTAGTTGACCTTGTATAGCCTGATATATAATTACAGTAAACATTGTATGCTAAACCAAATTGAAATTTGTGAGACAAAATTAATATGGAACATTAGTTACTTTTAAAAGCAAGTTACTCATTTATTTTAAATGGAACACCCAGTATATTATTGCGATGTTCAATGGAGAATTTATATATCTTCAAAATATTATTAAGGTTGCCTACTCTTCAGACAAAGATTTTCCTAGATATTTTAATTTTTATGATTTTGCGTCAGTAAATCTTTATTATTTGAAAAAATCTAGGTGAGCTGTGATATACCTTCTGTTAATTTAACAAAAATAAAAGATTGTTGAGTAACATATTCAACGGTAATAAAAAGATACACGTTTAAAACATATTTTAATTATTACACAATTAAAACTAGATATAAACCTATAATTATGTGACAAAAATTAGCTAGATGAAATCAAATGCTCAAAATAAAATCCTAACCCTTCCTGTTAACTGCATAAAATGATTGATTTTGAAAAGGATTTTTTAATTTTAAAAGGCATTTTTTATGTGGAGTTCTACCTCGAAAAGCAGCTACAATAATTTCTCTCATGTTGTCGACAATAGTTGGACGAGTTTTTTAAACACTGTTCTTAACATATCCCCATAAAAAAAAACAAGACTATATAAAATCAGGAGCATTTAAGTATTCTATTAATTGATGAATGCATACTACATTCACCAACTAATAGAATCATATCAATTCTCGCTGATGTAGGATAAGTTTACATTTTCGGCAAATTTCCAAGAGATTTTTTTGTTTTAACTGACACAAAATGATAACTAATTAAAGTTGGACTAATAACACTATGTTGAAGTAACGTCAGACATATCCATATCACAGCCACCTAAATTTTACAAATAATAAAGATATATCCAGATCAAATCATGTAAATGAAAATATCTAGGAAAATCTTTGTTTGAGGGGTAGGCAACCTTATAGTATTTTGAAGAGACATGAATTCTCCATTGAATATCGGAATAATATACTGGGTGTTCCATTTAAAATAAAAGAGTAAAATGCTTTTAAAGGTGACCATATTAATTTTGTCTCACTCTGTATAACTTTTTGGATCAATTTTTAATTTGATTTAAAGTACAATATATTATTTATTTAACTACATATTAGGCTATACCGGGTAAATTCCAATTTAGGTAGGTTTTATTATAATTTAAAAATTGTTCTTTATTTCTAGAAAATGTCAAATATGTCAAAAACCTTACATTTTAGTCATATACTTCTCTTATAAGACTCACCTTTATTTTTCTCCCAGAATCAGAAAATCAATTAATATATAGGGTGTTCCATTAAAAAAACACAACTTTGATATGTAACTTTTTTGGGGACACCCTGTAGAACTCTCTATATTTTTAAAAAGTGCTCTGAATTAACCTACATATGCTCACAAAATTTAATTTCAATACAAACTGTCGTTCTCTTTGGAGCCTCGGAGGCGCGGTCGGCGCGGCGTATGAGGGGCGCCACCCTGTATGTAGTTCTATGTTCACGAAATATTGGGACACCCTGCATAAATATCTATCTCCATATTACTAATACTTTATATTTGTGAATATTTCGAGTAAGGAAAATTTTATTTTCTACATTTTTGCGTAAATTTGACAACATTTTAAAATTAGTTTTCAGCAATAATAAAAATATTTTTAGACCATAATATTTCCATGGAATATATGAAAATATTTTTCTTTAAGATTCCTTTAAACTATAAATACATATAAATATTTTGAGGTTTAAAGAAATCAAATTATTTATTTTTCTTACTATTCGCCAGTAAAACTTAGACGAGCCGTCGCCTCAAGGTATTAAAGAAAATATAAATTTAGCAGGAATTTAAAAGATGTGAATGTGTTTCCATCTAATAGCAGGAAGGTAAATACTTTTCCTACAGTATTCTACTTAGATTTAGAATATATAGATGTTTAAATTTACCACAGATGGTATGAAAAGTATTATTTAAGCCGTTATTTAAGTATTTTGTATACTATATAATATCCTTGTATATGAATTTATAATATATGTACATTTCTAATCATTTTGCATTCATTTTATAATATTAGAATAAATCGTTAGTGAATTTACACAAATATAATAAATATTAAATAGTTTCGTATAAGTATAATATTTCTAATAGATAATAAATATTTAACATTTATAATAATATATTTTAACATAAAATCAATTAAATATAATATAATGGTCATATTTCTTTTTGTAGTTCCAGCAATATTTCAAATTTACCCCAAAAATCTTATTAAAAAAAAAATAAATTTACCTTCGCCAAATTGTCAAAAAATTTATCCTTATTTCAAATAAGTAAAAAATAGGTAAAAACAAAGACTTCTGT